CATCCGCGCCTAGAAGAGACGCAGAGCAAACCCATACAAAATCCAAGCGAAACGGAGGGAAGAGCAGGCGAAACAAGAAATGAAGACGAAGAAGAATAAACGAGACGGCGAAGCGCCTCCTGTTCGGATGGGGGGAGAGGGTGTCGGCACACCTGAGGGTGTCCGTACACCTGGTAGTTCTTACAAAATAGTAGAGTAGTCATTACAGTTTAGTAATTAGAGCACATATTGGCGTAGTTGACAAGGTTGTTCTTTAGTTAGACTTCACCGATTAGAGCAAGGGCAATTCAGGGCCCTTGCTGTAACACACAGTGGCCGTCTACCGTGGCTATGTATTACTCCTGAATAAGCCCGTGGCGTCTATGTGACTGGATCTGCGGATTACGTACCAAAACAACGTCAGGTTTCTGTTATTCCCGGGGGAAATCCTAAATTTACGAAATGTCCAATGGAAGGATCGATCAGAATCGCCTTCCTCCACCAGTTTGTGCTTGCCCCCGCCAGGTGCGGGTGCGGGCTACTGCCGGCTATTCAACTTTTCAACTGCCGGCTATTCAACCAGGCAGCAGGTGCTACGGTCAGACCGCAGGCGAGACCTGGCTCTTTCGGATAAACTCTGCTCGTAAGAGTGCCAACGTCTTCTAATTAGTAAGATATTTATCTCCAATTGATCATACGGTGCTACACAAGGCCTAACTATGCTCCTTCAGCGCGCCCGGACGCGTAGCCCAGGGGTTGGGTGCTGCTGCTTAGCACCCGGCCCCTAATAGGCTGCTACACCCCCAATATAGTCATAAGACTACTAACATTACTGAATTCTTCTTATACATGAACCAAGGTAACCTCGAACCAAGGTAACCTCGAACCAAGGTAACCTCAGACCTCGAATATCTCACAGTATCCACTCTCTATCTTACTCTTAGGCTAGCGCAACTGTGGGCAATGTAGTACCTGTGCACTACAGGATCAATCGATACGATAATTCCTCTATAATTATTGCCGCTCTCCTCTCAAGGAAGTTGATAACAAAAATTTAATAAATATTTCAGTTGGATTTTATACATAAATGCCTACATTGCTTTCCTTCCAGTAGTCCTGGAGGTACCGTGCCCTGCAGCACCCCCCGGTATCATTAGATTATCCTCATACTCGGCGCTCGCAAGCCTGCATCTTCTGCTTTCCATCATCTCGGCAGGAGCTCAAAGCAGCGCCTGGTTGTAAAGCTGAAGAAACTAAATTTTAATTGTTGTTAAGTGCACTTAACACCTGCGCAGGGGTGAACAGCCTGCTCCCGATCCTCCTCGAGCTATGAGCATCGAAGCCATGCGTCGCGCCCCACGTATGCGTCTTATCTTTGGGGCGAGAAGCAGTGGCGAGCCCTATTATAACTATCATATTAACTTATACACAAGTTAATTCGTGGAGAAAGTAGGGGGGGCACGTCCGGTATCCACTGTCTTCCATGACATCTTGCGCTGTGACCAGCGTACCGCGAAGGGAGTGACAAGGAAGTTCCATCGAGCTATCCCTCCTCATGGATTAACTTTACTGTGTATAGAGTTTTGGATGAGGCAGAAGACTGCCTAAGGAGAAAGATTGGAGTGCCGGCAGCAGTGGTGAACGCGTCATACTATCAGCGACGCTCGTCCAGGGGTCACTTGCGATACTCAGC